GGTTTCACCATGTTGGTCAGGCTGGTCTTGAACTCCTGACCTCAAGTGAGCCACTGCCTCTGCCTCTCAAAGTGCTGGAATTACAGGCGAGCCACTGTGCCAGCCTCAAATTGGTTTTTATTAGTGGTTCATGTATTGGGCAGCGTATCATCTAAGGATTTAGAAAAACACTCTAATGAAAGGAGCAGAGATGGTTGGTTTGTTGAGAAGGGCCGAAGAAAAAAAACAGAGAATAAAAGGGGGTGGGTCATTTTAAATTACTTTATAGAATTAAAACAAAGGGAACTTCCTCGTCAAGCCAGCTCAGCTCTGGAAAACAGGGACCCTTCTGATTGGTTGCTGTGAATTTCCATTTTTTTGGAAAATTGGCCTGTTTCATAGTTTAGCTGGGCGACATGGTACCTAGCATGAGTGATTCCATTCTTTTCTTTTTTTTTTTTTCAGACTGAGTTTCACTCTTGTTGCCCAGGCTGGAGTGCAATGGCACAATCTTGGCTCACAGCAACCTCTGCCTCCCCAGTTCAAATGATTCTCCTGCTTCAGCCTCCTGAGTGGCTGGGATTAGAGGCATGAGCCGTCATGCCCAGCTAATTTTGTATTTTTAGTAGAAACAGGGTTTCTCCATGTTGGTCAGGCTGGTCTCCAACTCCTGATCTCAGGTTGGGGATCTGATCCCGTCTTAGCCTCCCGAAGTGCTGGGATTACAGGTGTGAGCCACCACACCTGGCAAGTGATTGCCACTCTTATTTGGTCTGGTCCGCTGGGGCCTAGTCCAGGCGCTTACTCCAAAACAATGGTCTCCTTCCATTTCACTGAACTCCACCCCATTCAGCAGCTCACTTTGTGCATCTAACAATATCTCCTGTCTTTGGTCCCCCTCAGTCCAATGGGTCCCATACTCACCTCTCAGATTCATCTCCCTAAAATGCAACAAGCCCATCCCACCCTGCTTGATTTTTGTTGTTTTTCTGTGACAGCCTAACAGACTCCATCTTAGCTATAAGCCTGACAAACTCCATTTTAGCCTCTCCCTCCCCGCCATTTCTCCTTCCGGTACACAGCTGCCTCACGCTGTACCCAGTACCTTGTAACCATTGTAACTGCATCCTGCTTGTGAGTCTACCTGCTACTGTGAATAACTTACCCCCCTTGGTGATTGATTGTATGGAAAGTACCCTCTGCTACCTGCCTAGGTAACCAACAATCTTGGGAACCTCCTGCCTCCTGGTTACCAGCCTCCTTACCTAACTTGCTTGTTCTGCTTCTGTAAAATTCCGCTTTGCCACCCCCCTTCTCTAAGCAAGATATAAAAAGGAATCAAACCCCTTCGTGGGACAGAGAGAATTTTGAGCGTTAGCCGTCTCTCGGTTGCTGGCAATAAAGGACTCGAAATTGAAACTCCAGAGTGTGGCACTTTCCTTACAGCTCGCTCAGTTATAACAGTTCCCTGTTGCCTACAGTGTAAATCATGATACATCTATAAAACAAGCAGTCATGAAGACTATTTTAGGCTGGGCTTGGTGGCTCACACCTGTAATCTCAGAACTTTGGGAGACCAAGCTGGAGGATAGCTTGAGGCCAGGAGTTTGAGGCCAGCCTGGGCAGCATTACAAAACCCTGTCTACTAAAAATAAAAACAGCCAGGCACAGTGGCTTATACCTATAATCCCAGCACATTGGGAGGCTGAGGCTGGGGGATCACAAGATCAAGAGTTCAAGACCAGCCTGACCAACATGGTGAAACCCTGTCTCTACTAAAAATAAAAAAAATAGCCGGGAGTGGTGGTAGGCACTTATAATCCCAGCTACTGAGGAGGCTGAGGCAGGAGAATCGCTTGAATCCAGGAGGTGGAAGTTGCAGTGAACCAAGATTGCACCACTGCACTCCAGCCTGGGCAACAGAGCGAGACTCCGTCTCAAAAATAAAATAGAATTAAAAAACAAAAATAAAAATTAGCCAGGTGTGGAGGTATGTGCTGGGAGGTGGGAGGATCCCTTGAGCACAGGAATTTGAGGTTGCAATGAGCCATGCAACCCCCTGGGTGACAGAGAAAAAAAATTTTAAGATTTTTAAATAGTTTTTTTTTTTCTCTGATTCTACAAATAACGTATTCTTGTTTTGTTTTGTTTTGTTTAATTTGAGACTCTGTTACCCAGGCTGGAGTGCAGTGGCATGGCTCATGCCTGCAATCACAACTCACTGCAGCCTTAACCTCTCAGACTCAGGCGATACCCCCACCTCAGCCTCCCAAGTAGCTGGGACTACAGGTGCAAGCCACCATGCCCTGCTATTTTTTTTCGAGACAGAGTTTCGCTCTTGTTACCAGGCTGGAGTGCAATGGTGTGATCTCAGCTCACCCCAACCTCCACCTCCTGGGTTCAGGCAATTCTCCTGCCTCAGCCTCCTGAGTAGCTGGTATTACAGGCATGCGCCACCATGCCCAGCTAATTTTTTGTATTTTTAGTAGAGACGGGGTTTCACCATGTTGACCAGGACGGTCTTGATCTCTTGACCTTGTGATCCACCTGCCTCGGCCTCCCAAAGTGCTGGGATTACAGGCTTGAGCCACCGCGCCCGGCCTATTTTTAAAAAATATTTTGTAGAGATGGAGTCTCACTATGTTGTCTAGGCTGGTCTCAAAATCATGGGCTTGACCGACCCTACAGCCTCAGCCTCCCAAAGTGCTGGATTGTAGGTATAAGCCACCGTGCCAGTTCCTGAATCTAGAGAGAATGCATTCTTGTTCATGGTTTGGCACATTTCCTTCCTGTCTTTTTTATTTTTTGAGATGGAGTCTCACTCAGTAGCCCAAGCTAGAGTGCAGTGGTGTGATCTCGGCTCGCTGCATCCTCTGCCTTCTAGGTTCCAGCGATTCTTGTGCCTCAGCCTCCTAAGTAACTGGGACTATAGGCGCGTGTCACCACACCTGGCTAATTTTTAGTATTTTAGTAGAGACAGGGTTTCACCATGTTGCCCAAGGTGGTCTCGAACTCCTGAGCTCAGGGATCCATCTGCCTTGGCCTCCCAAAGTACTGGGATTACAGGTATCAACCACCGTGTCCAGCCCCTTCCTTTTCTCTGTTTATTTTTTTTTTCTTCTTTTTTTTTGAGATGGAGTCTTGCTCTGTTGCCAGGCTGGAGCACAGTGTCACAGTCTCGGCTCACTGCAACCTCTGCCTCCCGGGTTCAAGCGATTCTTCCGCCTCAGCCTCCCAAGTAGCTGGGACTACAGGCGCGTGCCAAACGCCCGGCTAATTTTTGTATTTTTAGTAGAGACAGGGTTTCACCATGTTGGCCAGGATGGTCTCGATCTCTTGACCTCGTGATCCACCCGCCTCAGCTTCCCAGAGTGCTGGGATTACGGGCGTGAGCCACCGCACCTGGCCTCCTTTTTTCTGTCTAGATTTTAGTGCCCCTACAAACACTGTGCCACGTTTCCTTATTTCTGTCTACACACACGCACGCGCGCGCACACAAACACACACACACACACACACACACACACTTCGTTGTTTTGTTTTAACCTTGTGAGCTTACTTGCTGACCTGTGACTCCCATGGGCTATTCAACATCCATTCAATTTATTTATTTGTTTATTATTATTATTATTTTGGGGGCAGAGTCTCACTCTGTGCCCAGGCTGGAGTGCAGTGCTGTGATCTCAGCTCACTGCAACCTCCATCTCCCCGGTTCAAGAAATTTTCCTGCCTAAGCCTCCTGAATAGCTGGAATTACTGGTGCCCACCACCATGCCCAGCTAATTTTTGTATTTTTAGTAGACATGGAGTTTCACCATGTGGCCAGGCTGGTCTTGAACTCCTGAACTGAAGTGATCTGCCTGCCTAGGCCTCCCAGAGTGCTGGGATTACCAATTGTCCCAATAGTGTCCCTGCCCTAGTCTAGTTAAGGAGCATGGCATCTACTTCGCCTGTCTCTAGTCTCCCCTAATCCAGACCTGTGGAGGCTAAAGCAAGTCCATCTTCGATACCGATCTGCCAGGATGACCTCTGATTAACCCCTGTTCTGGAAAGGCCTCTAAGATTTCCAGTTTATCTATTGTTCCCTGTGTAAGAGGCCTTATTGTAATTCCTGCCCTTAGGTCAAAACGGTCCTGATGTTACTGTACTTCAATGATCCTATCCATCCCTTCAGAGTCACCCTTTCTCTATCACATATAAGCCCTGGTATTGCCGACGCTTGATACAGACTTGGCTTCTGCTCATGAGTCCCTGTTGAATTTTTTTTTTTTTGGGAGAAACTGTATTTGTGATCCTCTTTCTTCAACCTCTCATCCTCTTGGACTTTGGGGTCAGGCTTGCTCAGCTTAGAGAGAAACAAGATCATTTCCCCAGGCCTGATGTTCTCTGAGAGTCGCAGCCAGTGCTGGAGACTGAGCCTCTGTGTGGATCTGTCTTGTGTTTTCATGATCAGATTCAGGTTAACATTTCTGGCTGGAAATTCTTCTTGAGGGAGTCTGTGTCTTTTCTCTGAGCATCACATCAGGTACTCAGGATGTCAGCTGGTCCCACTGTTGGTGATGTGAACCTTGGTCATTTTGTTAAGGTGGTATCTGACCAATGTTATTATAAAGATTCCTTTCTCCCCATGTGATGAATTATAGGCCTGTGGGAAGACTGTGTGCCCAGTAAAGGCTTTTTGAGAAATGAAAATCTTGGAATCGTGCAACTTTGTATTATGTTTCCAGTTAGCAAATTGTGACTGTCTTCTCATACCATTAAATATTCTTCAAAAACACGATTTTTGGTGCTGCCTATATTCCAACCTGTATGTATGTGCATTCTACTTATTACCTGCTAGGATGTAACTATTAGCTTACTAACGTAAGCTCCACAGCACTGCAGATTTTCATCTGCTTTGCTCACGCCATGTTTCCGGCACTGAGAGTGGTGTCTGGCATACAGAAGCTCAACAGAAGTTTGCTGAATGAATGAATACAGTTTCTGTGTAATTTTTCAATATACTACTGTCACAGCAAACATCCTTGTAAATAAATCTCTGAAGTATTTATTTTGGGAGAAACACAGATAATGCTTATAAGAAGGGAAACATTTATGTTGATAATGTGAAAAAATAAGAATGCAAAAATTGTACATATGCCATAATCTCCACAACATCAAGATATGCAAAGAGAACCATCTGGGAAAAAACAGAGTAAACAATTGACAGGAATTATCTCTGAAGAGTTTTAATGTATTTCGAACATTTATCTGTATTTTCCACAATGAGAACATGTTGCTTGCATGAAAAGAAGAAGCAGTACCTTTTTCTTTTTAAAGTTAGTTTTGCAAGTCAAGAGTCATAATAACTGGGGGTACCAAAACTGGTTAAAAACCAAATTCAGGTTTAGGGCACACTGACTGTGGGAGTCTGCGCACTTGCAGGAGCCCCTGGATGCTTGGCTAGGCTGATTACATTTAAGATATCAGTTTCCCTTCCTGGTGTCACATTTTAAAAGCAATATTGTCTAACTGCTGACTGTCTAAAGGACAGTGGCCAGTTGGTATGGCATCTGGAAATTGTGTTACTGTTAACATTTAAGGAACTGGGAGCATTTCTCCTCCAACAGAAGACTGGGGGAATGAAAAGTTTCTTTTAATTTTTAACGAGTCATCAAATAGCAAAGTGAAGATTTTTATTTTATGCAGTTTTAGAAGAAAGGCCTCAAGAAGGCAGCTGTTTTATTCTAGTAAATGATAAAGACTTTTTTTTTTGAGACGGAGTCTCATTCTGTCACCCAGGCTGGAGTGCAGTGGCATGATCTCAGCTCACTGCAACCTCTGCCTCCCGGGTTCAAGTGATTCACCTGCCTCAACCTCCCAAATAGCTGGGACTACAAGCGCACATCACCACACCCAGCTAATTTCTGTAATTTTAGTAAAGATGGGGGTTTCACCATATTGATCAAGCTGGTCTTGAACTCCTGACCTCAGGTGATCCACCTGCTTCAGCCTCCCAAAGTGCTGGGATTACAGACGTGAGCCACCGTGCCCAGTGACTTTTTTTTTTTTCAAGACAGATTTTCATTCTTGTCACCCAGGCTGGAATACAGAGGCTTGATCTTAGCTCACTGCAACCTCCATCCCTCTACCCCCCACCCCGCTCTGGGTTCAAGCAATTCTCCTGCCTCAGCCTCCTGAGTAGCTGGGATTACAGACACCTGCCACCTCCCCTGGCTAATTTCTGTATTTTTAGTAGAGACAAGGTTTCACTATGTTGGCCAGGCTGGTGTTGAACTCCTGACCTCAGGTGATCCACCCTCCTTGGCCTCCCAAAGTGCTGGGATTAGAGGTGTGAGCCACTGTGCCTGGCCCCGCAAGCAAGACTTTTTTTTTTTTTTTTTTTTTTGAGGCAGAGTCTCATTCTTGTTGCCCAGGCTGGAGTACAACAGGGTGATTTTGGCTCACCGCAACCTCCACCTCCCAGGTTCAAGTGATTCCCCTGTCTCAGCCTCCTGAGTAGCTGGGATTACAGCATAAACCACTATGCGTGGCTAATTCTTGTATTTTTTAGTAGAGACTGGGTTTCTCCATGTTGGTCAGGTTGGTCTCAAACTCTCGACCTCAGATGATCTGTCTGCCTCAGCCTTCCAAAGGGCTGGGATTCCAGGCGTGAGTCTGCCAAAGAAGGAACACTTTCTTAACGATTCATCGTATAGTAGAAAATGAGAACATTCCCTAGAAAGGAGTGGGCACCAGGTGGCCTCTCACAGGGGCACAGGGCAGGAGTTGTTGAAGCAGGAGGTAACAGAGATGCGTGTGAGATGTTTGGTGTGGCCACTTCCAGCATCCTCCACGAACCTGCCTGCAACCAACCCCCCCCAAGAAATGTAGCCTCTTCCGAGACAGAGGAATGGTCAGGGTCTCCTCTTACCTGTCAGCCCCCATATTCAGGTCTTTTCTTCAGGGCCAGCTCCCCAGAGAATTCATCCCCATACCTCATCACTCCCTCCCCATTCTCTGGTCCTGCTTTAGTTTTCTTCCTAACGCTCTTCCTGAGGGACACATTGTTACCTGTTAACTCATTTCCTTCTGTTTGTCCCCTCGAACATGCTTGATGTAAGGATGGAAGGGTCTTACTGTCCTGGTCCCTGGGGCAGACCAGTGTTCACAGATCCCAGACCAGTGACTGCTGTGCAGCAGGCCTACCATATTTGTTCGATGGACGAATGATTCCCAAAAGAAACAGAGCACAGAGTTCAGAGGCGGCCTTGGGCAAAAAATTTCTACAATGTCAAAAATTAATTGTGGAGTATCCATCAATGGATGAATGGGTAAGCTAAATGTGGAATATACGTACAATGGAATATTACTATTTGGCCATAAGAAAGAAGGAAATTTGGCTGGGCACCGTGGCTCATGCCTTTACTCCCAGCACTTTGGGAGGCCGAGGCGGGCGGATCATGAGGTCAAGAGATCGAGACCATCCTGGCCAACATGGTGAAACCACGTCTCTACTAAAAAAATAAATAAATAAATACAAAAATTAGCCGGGCGTGGTGGCCCGCGCCTGTAGTCCCAGCTACTTGGGAGGCTGAGGCAGGAGAATTGCTTGAACCCGGGAGGCGGAGGTTGCAGTGAATCGAGATTGTGCCACTGCACTCCAGCCTGGCACCTGGCGACTGAGCGAGACCCCGTCTCAAACAAACAAACAAAAAATTAATTATGGGTAGTAGAGAGAATGTGGTCTTCCTTTTGTTTTTTTGCTTCGTTTTGTTTTTCCAAGTACTTGCTATGAGAATGTGGTCTTCCTAAACTTACCGTAGGAAAAGTTAAAAATAACTTAAAGGCTGACAATAGCATTTCAAAGGTCGCAACTGATCAGAGAGGCTATTTCATCAGGCCAGACTAGCTGAATAGTGACTTTTTCCAAGAGGAGAACCGCTGGAGAGAGAACTGAGCAGTGAGGAAAGCGAACTTGTTCGGTTAAGTTTGATTTTCTGCTTTAACGAGAGGCTTCCCGAGTCCCTTAAGATCCCCTCCCACAAGAGGCACTCCAGGTCTCTCCGCCTACCTGTCTTGTCCCCGCCCTCCGGGCCACAGCAATGGACTCCCAAGAGGCAGAGGCGGCGCGGGCGAGGCGGGTGGGGGAAGGGCCAGGACTCACTCTTCCTTTTCCCCTCGGCCGGGGCCCGCCCCAGCCCTGGCCCCGCCCCGGCCCTCTGGCTCCGCCTCCTCCTCACGACCCCGCCCCGGTACATTGGCCCCACCACCCACTCGGCCCCTCCCCGGGGTCCTGGCCCCGCCTCCGCCACCCGGCCCCGCCCCGCTCCCGGCGGACTGAGAGCAGGAAGCGCGCGGTGTCTCCGCCGACGCCGCGTTCGGAAAGGTGTGGAGGGGGCTGGGGGCGCAGGTCGTGGTCAGGCTGCGTCTCCTACCCGCCCAGCCACCTGCGGCCCTGGCCCCACCCCGCCGCTTTGGGCCGCTCAGGCTCGCGGCCGCCCCCGCTCCGAGCGCTGGCTCGGGGCTCCGCTGCTCTGGCCTGGGAGGCGGGGCCGGCTGCGCGGCGTCATGCATATGCATGAGCGGCGCGGCGGCGGCTCCATTGTGCCCTCGGAGCGGGCGGCGGCGCGATGGCGCGGGTGGCGGCGGCCCCGGGGCGGCAGGCGGCGCGGAGGGCGGGCTGAGCGCATGGAGCGGCGCGGGCCGGGGGCCGCCACGGCGAGGGGCCAGGCCAGGCCGGGCGGAGGTGAGCGGGGCCCTGGGGGTGGCCCCTGGCAACGCCGCCCGCGTGCAGGTGCGGGCCGGCGGGGGCGGGCAGGTGCGGCAGGTGCGGGCCGGCAGGTGCGGGCGGGCAGGTGTAGCCGGTACCCCGGGGTGCCCCGGTCCCGCTGCGGCGCCACCGTAGGGTACCCAGCCGGGCTGGGGCTGGAGGCTCTGCCGCCCACCTGCCGGCACCTGCCACGCGTGCGTCGTGGTCTTGGTCAGGCGCGGCCCCGTGGGCGTCAGGGTCGTCCAGCCCTCCCCTGAGTCTTTGTTGGAGGCTGGCCGAGGGATGTAAGCGGCGCTTGAGGTTGTCCTGAGCGGTGAAGGCTGGCCGGGCCTTCACTCAAACATGATCGTTCATGGCTCGGGCCAGGCAGTCTCACCTTCATGATACGCCCCTCCGCTTCCACTTACGTGCCCACCAGCAGGGCGATGTGGGGGCCCTCCGAGGCAGTCACCAGCCCGAGGAGGAGCTGTTCCGCTCCTGAGCTGAATAACGCTGACCTGCCAGCCCCCAGCTGGCAGTTTTGATGGGGACACCCCTTTCCAAACTGGACATACTGAAGCTCAGGTGTGAGGATGCCCTCCTCCCCTGAGGTACCTTGTCTTCCCTAGCGCCCTATTCCCGGCAGGTGTCCTTCACCGCGACCCCCCTACACACACCCGGTGCCTTATTTACCCCTCCACCTACCCTGTCTTTTCCCCCATTCCCTGGACCCTCTAGCCTGCAGTGCTCTGCTTCCCCTTCTCCCTAGGGTACCCTCTTTCCAGTATTACAGGACATCCATGGTGGTCTTTAATTTGTGTCATCACAGATTTCACAGGGACACACACAGAACATGTGACTTGGTCTGAGACCGTGGTGATTACAGATAGGATGGACACAGCATCACCACCAAGTTCTGGCAAGCTAGAACCAGAGGGCATCCCTGGATGCTTAGTGTGGAAACAGAAGTGAAGGAATCTTAACTTCCGGGGGTACTGACCTCTAGCCCTTGTCACACCTAGGGGGTAGTTACAAGCTGCAAGTGTAAATGAGAACAAGCAGGTGACAGTTGCCAGTTTAGATTTCTGAAGGACAGGCCTAAGATGTTTGCGGAGCATCCTGATGATTGGGATTGAGCTCCCAAGGGCTGATGACATGAAGGTGGTCATGTGTCCTCAGGCCTTGGATGCCAGCAGATACCCATCGTACACATGGTAAACTGATGCCAGGTTAAGGTTGTTCCTTCAGCTGTTCACTGAAATGTCTCATGCCTGGGCCATTGCTCGTTCCTGGACTTTTTGATTAACTCTGCATCTTGACTTAGCCCCACGCTGAGGCAGTTTAGTATTGTGGCCTTACAGATAGAGGGGTAGGACTTCCAGGTACCTGTACATGTGAGCACCCTACCTTTTGCTACCAAGGACCCTGCTCCTGCCCCATTTCTTCAAGACCCTTTGACTCCACTGTCACTTAGGTTGGATCCAGAACCTGACCCTGCAACTTTGGAGACAGTGAGTCCCGATTTGTGACCTATTGAGAAGGGTTGGCCTGCCACAGGGTCTACTCGCTGGTCCTGCTCCTAGCTTACTAGGCAGGCAGAGAGGTGGCATGGAACAAGGCTTAGGAGGTTCACTAGGAGACTTAGGGGTGCAGTTGCTCTGGGACACTTGGGAAAGAAAGGTTTGGGTAGTGAGTCCTGTAGCTCCATGTTTAGAGGAAGGTGTGATCTGACCCCCAGAAAGCCTTGTGGCCTTCTAGACTGACCTCGTCCATCTGTCAAGGGGTCCTAGCTTCAAGCTGGAGTTAGTGTACAAGGAAAGCCCCAGGTGATAAGCCCCTCTGTGGGCATGGGCCTTGCATGATCTGGGATCCAGGTTCCAGGCTCCAGGCTTGTTCCCAGCCCAGACTCAGAGCCAGGGGATAGGAGGAAGATCTGCACACACACAACACAGAATGCTTCCCTATGGTCAGGAGCAGAGGGTCAACGATACCAGACCTGGAGACAGGGAGTCTTCCCAGGGAGACTGTCCTCAGAGAGGAGACCAGAGGTATGAGTTCGGGTCGGCAGGAAATCCCCCTGTGTAGTGAAGAATAAGCTCAGAGGGAACTGGAAATCTTTGTGGTCTCTGTCCACACCAGAGAAGCATCAAGGGTGGAATTCCCCAAGCCGATGTGACATAGGAGCCTGCTGTGGGCTCCTCCCCTCCCTGTACCTGGCCTGTGCCCCTTCTCCCCAGCTCTCTGCATTTCCTGGAACTGAGGCTCTCAAGCTAGTCCCTGGACCAGCAGCAGCACTAGCTGTAAATTGTTAGAAATTTTGGACTTAGGCCCCAGCCCATCCTACTGCTTTTAGGTGGAGCTGGGCAGCCTCTCATCACCAGCTGCAAACTGGCTTTGACATGCTGCCATTGGGGAACTGCTACCCTAGGTGACCTAAAATGAGGGAGTTCTGCATCAAGTACTGCCTGCCCTCTGGGGCCTTTGACCAGGGGCAGGGAAGGGGGCACATCTGCTTGCCTGGCAGATACCCTCCCTGTGCTTCTTGGGACAGCAAAGTGGCCAGGCCAACCCAACCAACTCTCCATCGGGGAAAGATGGTCACAGCAGTTCTGTGGAGACAGAAGGCTGGTGGTAGCAGTTGCATTGTAATTAAACTTTTTATTTTGAAATTATTGGCTCAGGCCGGGCACGGTGGCTCACGCCTGTAATCCCAGCACTTTGGGAGGCCAAGGTGGGTGGATCACGAGGTCAAGAGATCAAGACCATCCTGGTCAACATGGTGAAACCCCGTCTCTACTAAAAATACAAAAAATTAGCTGGGCATGGTGGCGCATGCTTGTAGTCCCAGCTACTCAGGAGGCTGAGGCAGGAGAATTGCCTGATCCCAGGAGGCGGAGGTTGCGGTGAGCCAAGATCACACCATTGAACTCCAGCCTGGGTAACAAGAGCGAAACTCCATCTCAAAAAAAAAAAAAAAGAAATGACACAGATTCATTCTATCCTTTACTCAGTTTCCGTCAATGGAAACATCTTGGAAAGCTCTAGTGCAACATTGCACCAGGACACTACATTGATACAGTAAACAGGTTACAGCCTATTGCCTTTTCTTTTTATTTATTTATTTTTTTAGCCAGAGTCTTGCTCTGTTGCCCAAACTATAGTGCAGTGGTGAGATCTCAGCTCACTGCAACCTCTGCCTCCTGGCTTCAAACGATTCCCCTGCCTCAGTCTCTCAGATTGCTGGGATTACCACACCCGGCTAATTTTTATGCTTTTAGTAGAGACAGAGTTTCACCATGTTGGCCAGGCTGATCTCCAACTTCTGACCTCAAATGATCCGCCCACCTCGGCCTCCCAAAGTGCTGAGATTACAGGCGTGAGCCTATTGCTCAGCCTGTTGCCTTCTTACATTCACACCCACTTTTCTCCTGCCAAAATTATAGAAATGGAGAAGAGATTAGTACTTTTCTCCCTTACCCCCACATTTAACTCCTGGCAATCACTAATCTGTTCTCCATTTCTTTAATTTTGTGTCAAGAATGCTAAATAAAGGAATCATACACCCTGTAGCCTCTTGGGATTGGCTTTTTCCACGCAGCATAATTCTCTGGAGATTCATCCAGGTTGTTACGTGTGTCAGCGGTTCATCCTTTATACTGCATCCGGGCTGTGGATGTACCACAGTTGGTTTAACTATTTATCCATTGAAGGACATCTGGGCTGTTTCCATGCCATGGCTATTACAAATAAAGCAGTTGTAAACATTTGTGTACAGGTTTTTATGTGAACATAAGTTTTTATTTCTCAGATAAATGCCTATAAGTGCAGTTGCTGGGTCCTAGTAGGGGAGCTGTGTGCTGAGTTCCATATGATATGGCCAGACTGTTTTCCAGAGTGGCTGTACATTTTATATTCCCACTAGTAATGTGTGAGAGATCCAGTTTCTCCTTGCCAGCATTTAGTGATGTCACTATTTTTTATTTTAGCCATTCTGATGGATGTATAGTGATATCTCACTGTGGTTTTAATTTGCATTTCCCCACTGACTAGTGATGCTGAGCATCTTTTCATATGCTTATTTGCCATCTGTATATTCTCTCTGGCAAAGTGTCTCTATGTTTTTTGCTTATTTGCTAATTGGAGATTTTTATTGTAAGTTTTTTTTTTTTAGTTTTGAGAATTCTGTATTTTATTTTTATTTTAAATAATGGTTCACTCTGTCATCCCGGCTGGAGTATAGTGGCAGGATCATGTCTCAGTCCAGACTCTACCTTCTGGAGTCAAGTGATCCCCCCACTGCAGCCTCCTGAGAAGCTGGGACCACAGGTACATGCCACCACACCCGGCTCATTTTTAAATTTCTTGAGGAGACGGCATCTCACTATGTTGCCCAGGCTGTTCTTGAACTCCTGGGATCAAGCAGTCCTCCTGCGTCGGCCTCCCAAAGTGCTAGGATTGTAAGTGTGAGCCACTGTGC